CTCCTGAGTCCCTCCTGGGACTACAGGCGCCCACCACAATGCCTGGCTATTTTTTTGTTGTTATTGTTGCAGTTGTCATTATTGTTTTAGCTGGCCTAGGCTGGGTTCGAACCCACCACCCTCAGTGTATGTGGCCGGTGCCCTACCCACTGAGCTACGGGTGCTGCCCATAGTACCCCATTCTTAAAAGCAGTGCCATGGACCTTGTGGAGGATCCCTCAAAAACTAGTGCCTGCCACCTTGCCTGGTCTCATCCTTGGGTACCCCAACATGGGCCAAGTTTAGGGTAATTCTCCAAGTTCACTAGTCCTTCCTCACTGCCAAGTCTCTGTAAATGCAGTTTCTTCTTCTGACCTCCTCAACCCTTTCCACCTCAGCTCGTCTACCTGGTGACCTCCTGTCCATCCTCCACGTTGCAGTGGAAGAATTACAGGCTCTCTGCAGCCCTTTGGGCCCTCCCACTGCTCCCTGGGTGGCTTTCAGAACTGCTTCCTCCATCTGGAACCCGTTCCCTGTCATGGCAGCACTTGGAAGTTTCTTCCTTGCTCACCTTTTGCTGTCACCCCCCTCTCTCACTAGCTTCTGAGCAGCTCAGGCCTGGCTATCTTGTATTCTGTTCCAAACATGGTGCCTGGTACCCAGCTGCTCCCTAAATGTCTGCAGGAGTAGATGAAAATGCAGCCAGGACCCGGTGGTTTATTATAATGTCTGGATTTCTTTACTTCCCTTCTTAAGTTACCATGGAGAGTAGATCAATGTTAAACAGGGAAAGTTGGAAGAAATAACTGTATTTATGAAAAGGCATGTTGAGTTCTATTTGCAAACTATTATGCTGTAGGAAAAGGTCCCTTTTGAAGGGGGTGTTTGCCTGGAGGTATAAAAATTAGAGAGTTGCAATCTGCATTTTATTGAAACACAAAATTTAAGAATCAATAGGAAAGCAAATTTAAATTCTAAATTAGGAAAAAACAATGCTTCTCTTTAAAGGAAAATTGATTCCGTCTGACACACTTGTGGTTTTCTTTCCTTTTCTGATCATAACATCTCCCTTTTCACCTTTGCTTAAGCAATAAAGAGGCGAGAGTTAGCTGGGGAGAGGGGGAAGGAGAGGGCAGGGGAACAGGGCTCTGGGCTAGCTGTAGTTGTCAAATTTTTCAGGCTGAAGAACAATTTTGTGTACAGACACCAAGTCCCAGCCTAGCAGAGTTATGATGGAGCAAGTCCGGGCCTGGCCCTGGCCAGGAATCCATGTTCCCTGTAAATGCTGCAGGTGTGTCTGCTGTGGCCTGTGGGGGCCACATTCAGAGAAACACAGAGGGACCAATATAAATGCTCCTTTTAAAGCACCTTAGCTGCACTCACTAGGTAAACCAGTCTCTTAGGACTCAGGACTGCAAGAAGCTACTGGTGGATGAAAGCACTATCTGTCTGTCAGTCTGTCAGGGTTTGATCCCAATTGCCACTCAGGTGCAGACTGAGGACCAGCTGCCTCAGCCTCACCTGGGAGCTAGTGAGCAGGTGCGGGCCAGGCCGATGTGCCTGGTCTCTTGGCCCCACTTTAAGTAACAAGGCTGGAAAAAAAGTGGGCCACACTAACAGCTGGAAAGGTTTTAATTCTAAGTTTAAAAAGACTTTGGGTGAGTTAATTTTATTTATTTGTAAGACAAAAATCAGATTTAAATTTAGCAAGGGGGGAGAAATTGTGTTTAAGCATTTGTTTTTCTAATTCCTCTAAATTGTACAATGTGTTTAAATTTAATATTAATAGGGCACTAATGGCACTTTGTTATTTATCTATATAGCGTTCTAATACTATGAAATGAACATATTAATGCTCATTGAAGAAAAACTAGGAAGCACAGGGATTGATAAAGCAGAATAAATCATATATATTCCTTCTATGCAGAGATGCCATTGCTAACTTTTTCTTGAATTTTCTGTCAGTATTTTATTTATGAGGTCAGACAACTAAGTGAGTGAACTCGTTCTAGAAAAAGTGCTACAAACCTCGTTGCTGGTATCACTACAGTCCCCTTCAAAGTACTCCCCGTGGGAAGCTATGCACTGATACGGGTGCCTAGTCCACCCGTCAAAGCCACTTGGGGACTCTTTTTCTGAAATGGCCATCAGAGCTGTCGTCATCGTCAGATGAAGGTCTGACAATTAAATTCATGAACTCATCCTAGAAAAAGTGCTACACGCCTCATTGCTGAGTATCCCTAGTCACCAGATGGCCAGGGGGAGTGCTTTGAAGGTGACCACAGTGATATTCAGTGATGAGACATGTAGCACTTTTGCTGGGATGAGTTCTTGAACTTAATTGTCTGACCTCTATGTGCAGCTATGTGTGTGTGTGTGAGTGTAATATATAATATATCATGCAGTATATAATACATAAGTATAATGCCGAATACGTGCATTGGGAATGAACAGATTTTGGAGGATGCTGGAAAATATTAATAGTGTTTTGAAGAATAGCTGCTAAATGGGGTTGAAAGTCCCCAGGGGGTGGCTCTGGGATCACTCACCTGTCCAATGTCCAGGGCTGGGTTTATGCTAAACGCAGCATCTATGAAGATGTCGGTCCTAAGGAGCTGCACCAAGAGAAAATACAGAGTGTAAAATGATATTCATTTAAAGCAGAGTTTTACTAAAATCGTGGATCTGTCCCTGATTCTTCCCCTGGGAGGATCAAGTTGATCGCTGTTCAGAGGGTTTGCGTTTACACTGTGAAGGTGGTGAATACAGTGTCACTCCTTACCTTATGAGCCCCAGTGAGACAGTCGACTTCAACCTCAGAACAGGACGCGCCATAGACAAAATACGGATAAGCGTCGCCTTCCTCTTTCTCCCAGTCCATATTGGTCTGGTAGCCTCTGAGAAGGGAAGTCAAGTGCGGGAGGAAAAGACACTTTCCTCACCAGGGGTTGGATCACCCCTCTAGCACCCCCTGTGCAGAAGGCCCCCGGCAGGGGCTGCAGGCAGCATCTCCACCCTGTGGCTGGAGGCCTTCCTCCCCCTTCTCCCTCGAGGGGACCATGTGGTCAGGCTACAAGTTACCACAGCAGACAGGGGAGGAGATCCACTGGTGGTGGACCCCTACCCTCCAGTACACGGTTGGTGGGAAGGGTCCAGGTGTGTGTGGACAGCTGTGGTCCCGCAGCTGCTGCCCCATGGAGCCTCTGGATCGTCCTTGTGCCTGGCCCTCTCCAGATCTCCTTCCCCAGCCCACAACCCCATGACTAAAGGGTTATCCCTAGGCCCCACAGAGCTCTGGCTCTCTGCTGACACCTGTGCAGGCTGATGAGCACACACCGTCACTGCCCAAGTGGAATTTAAGCCAAAATAAAAATGTCCCTTACTTGAAATATCCAGTAGCCGAGAGACTGATGGAGTCTTCAAAGGCTTTTGTAATCTGGAAGAGATGATGAGTTACAAAGAGATATAAATTAGGGCAAGTAATGAAAAACGCCTTCCACGCTGGGCATGCCTCCTCTGTGTGCCCCAGGCTCTGCACACACAGTTTCCTAAGGGAGACTCAGGCCTGGTTACAAGCTGTAGGTTATGCTTTTCAAGGCAGGTGCTCAAGGGCAGCTGCTAGCTCTGCTCTGGGACTCTTTGTTTTAGGGGGTTCCTCAGTGTAAAGTTTCTTACTTTCCCCCCTTTGGGGCATGTTAAGTTAGGGAGAGGGTTATGTGTATATGTATTTCTTTCCCACTTTGCTCTCAAATCATTTGGCTATCTGGAATATATGATTATGTCAGCTCCCCTGCTAGGGTAAACTGGGTTGGGTGGAAATAATAATAAAAATGGTGATACTAATAGTCATTATGAAAAATAGAGTAATCCTTTGATCTTAGGAGTACTATTTTCTCCATGGTGTAGGTGAGGCCCTGAGGCACTGAGGGGGTTTGAACATTTGTGTCTCTCTCAATATGCATGTGTTGAAATCCTACCGCCCCATGTGATGGTATGAGGAGACGGGGCCTTTGGAAGGTGATTAGGTCATTAGCGCAGATCCTGCCTAAGTGAGATTAGTGCCCTTATAAAAGAGGCCCCAGAGAGAGCTGCCTTGTCCCTTCCGCGAGTGAGGATGCAGCCAGGAGGCACCATCCATGAGCCAGGAAACAGGTCCTCACCAGACACCAAACCTGCGAGTGCCTTGATCTTGGACCTCCCACCTCCAGAACTGTGAGAAAGAAATTTCTGTTGTTTATAAGCCACCCAGTCTATGGTACTTTGTTATAGTAACCCAGGGACTAAGATGGAGTGAGTGACAGGCCACTGGTGACGTTACAGAGACAGCAGCCCTGGGTGTGTCTTGCTTTAGAGCCCAAACTGCTGTCATACTTGGTGAGGAATTAGGCACTGACATAAAGCCAGGTTTTAACGAACTCAGGCCTCACTTTTACTCTTTTGGAAAAGTCAATGTAAATGTAAGAAATGCTTTGTTCCTGGAATGGGCATCACCCATCAGCCGGGCACCTGGGACCGCTTCCCATCTGGATGTAGTTGCCTTTTCCTGGTAGGGATAAGGAGAACACTCACCCAGTCCTCCCATTTTCCTTTAGGGTTTTTCCTGATGATGGGATGAAGACGGGTCATAAGAATTTGGCAGGCATTCTAAAGATAAATATTTGAAATAATGTCAGAAAGAAAAGGCACAGGGAATAGCAGAATGTTAACTACTAACGTCCATTCACACGCAAACCATCCGTGGTGTGAACCTGCCTCCTAGCCTTCCAGGCAGGGCTTGTTAAACTGGGACTCTCTTCAAAGGGAAAAATATTCTACGGATTCAGCAGTGTAGACCTAAAATTAGTTTTATTATAATGTTTAAAAATATGCGAACATAAAGCTAGCTAGAGTTGCTTTAGAGTTATAGCCCTTCTAAATATACAGCAAACACAAAATGACAGAGCATGCCCTCCATCTACATGCCAATGAAACTCAAATAACAACATGAATCCAGTAGATTGATGATGCTTTCTGAAGCAAAATGCTGCCTGGAATGTGGAGAAAGTATTGCTTGCTGTGGCACAGGTACTTTTGAGTGGGGCATGCCTATCGCGTACTAGGTGATAGATGGATTCTCTCCCCACTCTCCTTATTCAAATTGCCTCTAGATTTACATTGGCATTCTGTACCTTGCCATCATCTCTGCTCTTCACTGGAAAGGAAAACATCTTTTATGGATGAAGTTCATCTCTGCTCTTTTCTTGTTGTTTTGCCGCAGAGTACACTGTTGGTCCCAAAGGTGGGCAGAGATCTTATGGAATATTCTAGTTATAAAGCAGCCATTCTGATGATCCAGAATACAACTGTACTTATTTTTTTTTTTTAAAGATTATTGTTAAAGTGAAAATAAGTTACTGAGGTAAAATCTTGGACTCCTGAGATTACAGCTGCTCACCCCTGAGTATCAGTGAACCCCAGCTTGGCTTCCATTCTTTTCTTATTTTGAGACAGAGCCTCAAGGTATCCCCCTGGGTAGAGTGCTGTGGCATCACAGCTCACAGCAACCTCCAACTCCTGGGCTCAAGCGATTCTCCTGCCTCTGCCTCCCAAGTAGCTGGGACCACAGGCGCCCACCACAACGCCTGGCTATTTTTTGGTTGCAGCCGTCATTGTTGTTTGGCGGACTGAGCTGGATTCGAACATGCCAGCTCAGGTGTATGTGGCTGGTGCCTTAGCCGTTTGATCCACAGGCACCGAGCTGGCTTCCACTCTTAGTACAAAGACAAACCCATCTGTATCTCTGCCCTTACGTATTCATTTCAGCCTCAGAACACCCTACATGCCCCCTCCTGGTTTCTCTTCTTTCTTTTCTACGGACCTCTTTTTTAGAATGGTCTGTGGGTTTTTTGTGTTAGGGAAATCCCTGTTTTCCTAGCTCTCTGTGCTGGTCCATTCAGTTTCAATCACTGACCTCATTAGAAAAGAGTGCCTCAGGTAAGGCAAACTTAAGGCCTGGAGTCCCCACGCCTGTCCAGATATCAGACCTTCCCTTTGTCATGCCCTGACCCCCAGTTTCATGGTCTCCAATAATACAATTTTCCCTCTAAGAGAGTGAGAGACTGCAGTGAACATTTGTCCTTCTTTTGTGACCTTCATAAGGCCTTTCTTTTCTTTTCTTTTCTTTTCTTTTTTAATAGGCCAAAATATTTATTTGCCTAAAACAAAAAACCCCAGAAGTTTCTTTAGTTACAGTTTTGGGCAGTGAGTAAAAGTCACAATAAAAAACAATAAGCCCCGAACTTCTGTAGCAGCTTTGATTTTTTTCCCTAAAACAAAACAAACAAACAAAAAACCAAGAGTGCATTTTCCTCCAGAGGTTGATTTAAATGGGATATGCATCCGGTTTTTCCTAAAGTGCCAAAGCTCACACAATTTCCACAACTTTAGATCAAGGGACTGAAGAATCCATCAAGTTAAATACTCAAGGTCATCTCAAATCCCGAGGAGTCCTGCTTTCTGTGACAGGGAAGAATTCTGCTAGCAAATAGTTAAATTGAAATCCAGGTAAAAATGCTCTTAATCTTCACCTTTGGGTTCTTCTTTGTAAAAATTTGTTTTAATAATTCCTAGATAAACTTCATTCACTCATTTTCTATTCTACTTTCTGTGTTTTTCTTTGTGGCATCTGTCTTCTTTTCTTTCCACAAATTCAGTTTGTGGACGTCTAGAGTATAAATCTGGCGTGCCATGTGGGCTCCCACAGTGAGCAGAGCAGGGTTGGAGGGAGCAGCCTGGCTTAGCGCCCCTAGCATGGCAGCGCTGAAGCCACTGAGCCACTGCTTGGTGTTTTCACGGAACCGCAGTGCCTGGACTTAAGAGCAATCAGAGCGTCATCTCTTTTGTCCTGATGGGCAGGAACAGTATCATATGTTAGTGTCCACATAACTCCAGAAAAAGACAGAGGCAGGGGAACAGATGGATCACAGGAACCCTCTACAGCAGACCATCCAAGCAATGCTTCCCAGTTAAATGTCAACCCCAAGGCTAATCAAGCCCAGTATCTAATTCTTTTCTTTTCTTTCCTTTCTTTTCTTTCTTTCTTTCTTGACAGAGTCTCAAGCTGTCACCCTGGGTAGAATGCCATGGTGTCATCATAGCTCACAGTAAGCTCCAACTCTTGGGCTTAAGCTATCCTCTTGCCTCCGTTTTTCTATTTTTAGTAGAGATAGTCTTGCTCTTGCTCAGGCTGGTCCTGAATTCCTGAGCTCAGGCAATCCACCCACCTTGGCCTGTCAGAGTGCTAGGATTACAGGCGTGAGCTACCACACCTGGCCTGCAATTCTTTTCATTAGTGGGTAGGTGATGGCAAGAAGTAAGAAGGCTGCTCCCAGAGCTATACCATAGTAATGCAGATACAGAAGAACACCCAGTGCCAAGGCCAGTTGTCCTCCAAGAAAAACAAAGGATTGAAGAGTTGAAATGTCTCCAGCAGCTATTGGGCAATTTGCTGTTCTTGTAACCTTTTTATCATATTCCCAGTCCCACATGTCGTTAACAGTACAGCCTGCTCCGTGCATCAGAATAGCTCTGGTGCCAAAGAGGGACAGCGTGTACCAGTCTGAGACACAGCTAGGTGAGCTGCCAAAAAAATGATCCAGGCACATGGTAGACTGAGCAGCCAGGTTCCAACGGGCTTGGCCAATCGCATGAGGCTCAGGTAGGGCTGCAGAGGCAGGGGCACACAGTCCACCACCACCGCTGCCAACAGGCTGAGGGGCACCTGCATGGCTCCGGCCAGGCTGGGGGCTGCCGCCCACCACCCCAAGCTTGCACCACAGCTTGAGGGCCACACACACATCTCCCACCCCACCAACACAGAACACCTTTCTTCAGGGAATTCTCTCACCCTGTATTTTTTAGTAGGATCGCCTCCCCCGTTAAAGCTCCAAATGCCAGAAAGAATTTCCCCAGCTTCCTTTGCAATGTAGAAAATTTTACAGTATACAAAAGTGGAGAGAATAGTACAATAAGCCCCCTCCTGTCTTTTATCCAGTTTCAACAATGGTCATTTGCACCCCAATCTCCCCACCCAGCTTTCTTTATTACCTCCTCTTTTACCTCACTCTGTGGCTACCTTGACCTTGGCCCAGCCTTCCCTGGCCTTCCCTGCCCTCGGGGTGGGACTGAGCCAGGTCACAAGTTGTTAAAACCATAGGAGAGGCTCTGTCCATATCAAAGATGCCCCAGCACTCTCTGAGGTGCTTAGAATGGCATCGTGGGGAGGGAATCAGATGCAACATGGCCAGATCGTGGTGACAATGACCAAGTAAGATGCTTTCTGCTTTTACATTTATGACCTTCCATCCTGTGACTTTATAAAATGTAGGCCAGGAAGGTGGAGGGAAGTGGGTGAAGGTAAAGAGTGGGAGAAGCCCCTGCAGACCCCTTCCCACCTCCAGGCCTCGCCGAGAAGTAGCAGAGACAATGCAGTCTGAAGTACATGTCAGAATTTTGGACTGAACATTTTAATTATTGAAATGAGATGGTTTCTGTGAGAAAGATTGGTCAATGGGATTTGAATGGTCTTAGGGTAATGATAAAACTATAGGTAGATTTTATTCAGGGGGAGGGAAGAAGCCCACAGAGGAACCTGGAGCCATGGGTGGGGAAGAGTTGTTTCCTGCCACCTCCAGTAGGAGCTTCTCTTTCGATAACACCTTGATACCTCTGTATATCGTCTGCCTGAATGGGAGGTGGATGGGATCAGGCTCTTTGGGTTTTGTTCTGTTTCATTTATTACCACACTCCTAATGCGTAGGACAGAATCTGGGATAGCGTAGGCTTCAGTAAGTGTTTGTTAAATCAATGTTGAATCGATAAAGTACGTGTGAAGTCACACAAATTTATGACTTTTCGAATGACTCTTCATCGAAAATCATGAAAATATGAAAATCTTTCTAAAAATACTTTCATTTCCTCATTTTTTATTATTTTTTGGTGATCTTACCTTATCTAAGCCTGAGACTGTCTAGCTGTGTATTAAGTGTCTCCTTGCAACCTGCTTGCAAGGCAATTAGCGTCTGGATGAAAGGCAACAAATGGACTCAATCATTTATAGGTTTTATCAAAATGAGAATTTTTCAGAGTGCTTTTCTGGGGCACTTGTTCCACAGGCTGTTAAGAGGTATTATATTAGCTAAAACTGTTTTATAGTTAAATAAACTTGGAAAAACCAGAGTGAAACTATTTGGTTTCTTTAGTGCAGGGTTTTCCAGAGACTTTCGTTTGCTAAGATGTCTTCTAAGCCTCTATGAACGGAATGTGGTAACGATGCATATTTTCCAAGTGGTTGACTGCTGAGTCCTTTTTCCCCCACTGACAGTTTCATGGGACTACTCTTCCCAGGAGTGTTCTCTGGGGAACCATGTGTCATACAGTACATGGGCATGTTTGACAGGCTGAAAGTGTCTCTTGCCATCCAGGGGCTTGTCAGTTTGTGGAAATGGTGTTCATGGGTGGTAAAAGACCAGTTAGTAGTTTTTTAGAGGTTGAGGGGTAGAGAAAGAGGTAGTGGTTGTGGCCTTCTTGCATGTCTTTGTGACCCACATGATGCTTCTATGAGGTGGCTGGTATTTGCACCCCTAGTTTCACAGAAGAGGAAAGGGATTCCTAGAGAGGTTAACTGCCTGGCTCAAGCCCTTTGTGCAGTGAGAATGGGACTACCCTGCACTGCTCTGATGTGCTGGGATGAGAGAAGGGAGAGATTTTCTTACCTAAAGTTTTCACATGCAACAGAACATTAATTATGAAAAACAGCCCAGTGCAACAGAAAGAATACCAACTGGGAGCCCCAGAAAACTTGACTTGGAGCCTTGGCTCTGCCAGTAATTAGCCAAATGGCTTAGAACTTGACCTTTCTTGGTCTCAGTTTCATCGTCTATAAGACAAGGAATGGGACAAGGTCCATTGTCCCATTGGACTGTATTGTCACTGGGTGACTGAGAAATAAAAGAAAAATCACCTGCACGGCCTTTCCGTTGATGTCTGTCCCCATTGATGCTGCTGTGAAGACAGCGTTGGGCACTGTGGTGGTGCTCGTTTCAGACAGGTGTATGTAGGACTGGGGGATGTTGAGTTCTCGACTAGCCACCTGTCAGGAGCAGAAGAAAAGTATTTATTTCATGGACTTTAAGCGCCTCCCCTCCAAATCAAAAAACCTTTGTATTCTTTTTAGAATTGAATATAGACCTGGCTATTTTCCTGCACAGACAAACATTTAAGCTAGCATCCCGAGTTTGTAGGCAGATTGATGCATTTGAAATTTCTAAATGGCACTATTGGGTGGTGCCTATGGCTCAGTAGGGCGCTGGCCCCATATACCAAGGGTGGTGGGTTCAAAACCAGCCCTGGTCAAACTGCAACAAAAAATAGCCAGGCATTGTGGTGGGTGCCTGTAGTCCCAGCTGCTTGGGAGGTTGAGGCCAGAGAATCGTCTAAGCCCAAACGCTGGAGGTTGGTGTGAGCTGTGATGCCACCATACTCTACCGAGGATGACAAAATGAGAGAGGAAAAAAAAAAAAGAAAATTTAAAATGGCACTATTAAGACATACTTTTCAGATACAGGTTGAAAGAGAGGCACTTCGACGGGCAGAGATCTCAGACCACTGAGGCTTGTATGAAAGGTCTTTATAGGGGGGGGGAGGGAGGCTGCAGAGCAGCACCAAGGAGGAGAGAAAAGAGGAGAGAGAGATAAGGAGAGAGTGGGGAAGAGAAGAGAGAGAGAGTAGAGAAGAGCAAGGAGAAAGACGGGGGTGGGGGGGAGGTGAGAGAGAGAGAGAGAGAGCAGAGAAGGAAGGCAGAGTGAGGCGGGAGAGAGAGAGAAAGAAGGCGGGGGAACATATTATATAGGGGAGTTTTAGAATGGTGACAGGCTGGTGGGATAACCAATAAGGAGTTATTCCTCCAGCAGAAAGAGCCATTAGGGGCGGGCAGCAGGAAATTGGAACAGGGGCTGTAACTTTAAGGGTAGGAAGGGGTTTCCTGAGGCAATAACCTTTGGTGGCCAACCAAAGTGTCTTTTTATGCTTTCTTTTATATCAGTGTCATGGAAACCATGTAGCAGGATGGTCACTCTGGGGCATCTAGTTTAGTAGGACAGGTGCAGACAAGAGTGAGATTATGATCTTAGTTTTACCTTCATCTTTTTCTCATGGTTTATGGATAATGTAACAGATTATGCTTACTTTGTGGGATATTTAGTAGACATAAGGATTTTGCTGGGGAGGAAAAAAATACGTTTAAAGAAGGCCCTGTGGATTTTTGTGCTTTTCCAATTCTGACTGCTTATTAAGTACTATTTAATAATATTTTTTCCTTAGACTAAGTATATTCTGACGATCTGTCATTGGGAGAGAATATTTGTTTCTCATGCACATTTCTGATTCAAACATCATATTCAACAAATTCTTAGGGAAAATTTCCTGTTGTAGTAATTTTTTGCTATTTCCATAACATTAGAAACACTTCTTTGAATTAGCACACATAATGGCCAGTCATGTGAAGTTCCTTAGTAGATTGAAAATTCTAAGAATGTAGTTTTTCATTGTATTAAATGCATTCATTTATAATAGAGGATTTGAATGAACAAAGGATTGCTTTGAACAATTGTCACTGAGAAATAAAAATAAAATCCCCATCCCCATCCCAACTGACTAAAGGGAACCCCCTCTTGGCCAAAGGGACCCCAGAGAAACGTTAAAAACTGAGTTCCTGGCCATGATGGAGTGGGAGGTAGGACATGCCTCATTATACCCCCTCCCTCACTAACTGCCTATAGACTTTCTTTTCTAAGGGTTAAACAGAAACTAGACCTTTCCAAAGACTTGCTGCACTACTGATTTCAACCAACCACCTGATGCTGCAGCTGGAGTCCCCTCCCTTTTTGCAGTTTTGACACAATTGACTAGCATTCCTTCTTGAAACCATGAACCCACGGAGGCTCTAGCTGGTTTATGGAGGCTGCACACAGGTTTCCTCTGTGCCCACTCATTCACCTTTTGAGGTATAGAACCTGATTTTAATGAATTTAAATATTCATTAAATTCTTGCCCCCCCCAAAATGAGCATGGGACGTTATGTACATATTTGCTTACTATGCAAGCGTGCACCCCCCCCTTTTGTGAATATACACAGCTCCTCCTATAACATGTTGAATACGTATACTTACCCAAGCTGTTTAGCATAAATTCCTGACTCCCCCTTCCTCCTTCAAAGTGTCTGCTTTCAGTTTGTGCCAGAGGCTATGCTTCCCAGCCAGCCAGCCTGCAAGCTGTAACACTTCTTAGGAAATAAAACTCTGCACTCCAAATTTGTGGATTTCATGATTTTAAGTCAACAGCATAAAGCTTAAACGAATTTTATCTTTGAAAATTCAAATAACATTTTTCAGAGGACCTAGGGACTTGGTTTTTGGGTGTGCAGGAGGAATAATATATCACATATATGATATATGTTATATAAACATAACACATTTCCTCAATCCTAATGTGGGAGCCAAACTAAGAATGTGGAAGCCAAACTAATTAACTCAAGTCACAAGTCAAACTACATCCTTTTTGTTGTTTATTCAGGACAATAGGCTGCCGCATACCAAAGACCTTATCATACCTAGGTGTTACAGCCCACATCCTGACTCCCTCCCCTTTGTCCCACTAGCCCCCTTGTGCACTCAGCCCACATCCTGACCCCCTCCTCTTTTTGCACTCGTCACTCTACTCACTCTACTCCGCACTCGCCCCACTTGCGACCTTTATCCCTTCCTTCTCATTCGCTCACCCGATACAAAGAAGACTCATCCCTGAGCCAATCAACCCTGAACACGACCACCCTGTACTTGTCAGTTTAGGACAGACATGGTTTACTTACCAATAAGGGAATGGGGTGGGATAGTCTAATGGGAGGGTAGAGGGAAAGGTATAAAGGAATTGTCTGAATAGTCTGTAAGGGCTGTTCCCACTTTTTCTTAAAGGGCAGCCCAGGCTCTGAGCTTGAATAAATAAAATCCCTCGTGCCTTTGCAGCGATGTTTGGCTTCTCAGTGGCGCTTGAATTGAGTCTGGGGGTTAACACTAACACCCATTTCCCTCACTCCTGCATTTTTGCCTTCCTGAAGACAAGATGAGTCCTACAATTGACTTGTGTGTTTAGTTTGATGGTATTTATCTTACTCAACAAGAAAATAGCTGTTAAGTTGACCGTAACATGCTGTGCTCACCTACATTGGAGAAGATGGACACTTATCTCACCTGAATCATCTTAGTGTATAGGCCTTGTCCTATTTCACAGCCACCATGGATCACCAGGACAGAGCCATCTAGATAGATGTGGACTAGAGCAGCTGCCTAGGGGGAAATAATTATAGTATTAGTTTGGAAACTGATGAAGCCAAATGTTGTTTAGAGTGTAGCCAAGGTTGCTGGATGAACAATTTTGGTTTAAGCCAATCTCTTGTTTTTTGTTCTAGAGAAGAAGGCTATTATTGATGGCTACAGACAACCTCTTGCAAGAAACCTGAGCCTTAGAAACCATCAATGTAGACAGCAGATGAATGTGCTCCTCTTCCCTTTCACCATGTCCTGCCTACTGGAGGCCTTGGGAGCTACCTCTCCACAGACCCAACCTATACAACATTTTATTATTCTTCCCTCCCTGGACATGGAAATTCATTTTAAAGCAAATGGAACCTATGTGAGTAAATTTCCAAGCATACCTCTCTTGGATACTTAGACAAACTGGAAGAATTTTGAGATGTTTGAATTGTTTCCAGGCACTGATCTTTTAGTATTATGATGTGGGAAGGGTCTGTACCCCACTCTGGAAGTTCTGATTCAGTGGCAGATGGGAGATGAAGCCCAAATACTCATTTTCAAACTCCCAGGCGATTTCAGTGATTGGCCAGGCTTGGGCTTCATCGACTCAGTCTAAATTCTTCACTTTGACTATGGGAGAATAGAAACCTAGAGGGGCGGAGACTCGGCCACACCAGATGCCTTATTTATAGGAAGTCAGAGTTTGAACCTACAGTCCTAACTTCAGTGTTCTTAGTGACCATGCCATACTGCCTCCTCAAACTTACTGCTGTTGTCCATCCTGAAGCTGGTTGTGCTAACTGAAGAATCTACAGAAGTGCCTGTAGCTCCAGGGAGTGGACTACAGGAGGGCGGAGGCTGGGCTATCCAGGGTGGTTCTGCAAGTTGCTGGTGGTTTTTGGAAAGCAATCCCTACCACATGGCCCTACTACCCAGGGCTCCTACCTCTAGATCAATGCTTGTGCCTGTGCATTAAGCATGCAAACCAACCAACTCATCTCTCCCAGTCTTCTCGGTGTGGCACTCTATTTACAGACTTATTAGGTCCTGTACGGGAACTTTTAAACTTTATATTTTCACCTCCTTGACAATCTAACAAGCATAATGCATGACCACACAGGAATAGTATTGCCATGTGCTTTCAGGTACCATGATAGATTTTATGGTGATGATTGTCTAGGCACCAGGTACGATTACTTTAACTAATGGAGCATATTTGAGGCAAGGGGCAAGGCAGTGAGTCATCACATCATCATAGACATCAAGGAGGCAGCAGCAGCCAGAACTACCATCATTTTGTAAGTGAGGATTTAGTTTTAGTAAAGCAACATCATTTACCACATTAAATTAATGCCATACTTTGAATACTACTGGCATTATAGTATTATTTTTACTTGATTTGCAAATTCATTTTTTTAATAAAGGCTTAAGAGCTAAAAGAAGCTTAGTCTTTATTGTGGTTATACACAATTAAATAACATTAAAATGAATAATTTAAGTAGGCTGGGTGCAGTGGCTCACATCTGTAATCCTAGCACTCTGGAAGGCAGAGGTATGTGGACTGCCTGACCTCAGGAGTTAGAGACCAGTCTGAGTACGAGTGAGACCCCACCTCTATTAAAATAGAAAAACTAGTCAGGTGTTGTGGCATGCAGCTGTAGTCCCAGCTACTTGGGAAGCTGAGGCATTAGAATTGCTTGAGCCAAGAGTTTGAAGTTACTGGGAGCTATGATAATGCCACAGCACTCAACCCAAGGTGACAGAGTGAGATTCTGTCTAAAAAAAAGTAAATAGACCAGGTGTGGTGGTTCACGCCTATAATTCTAGCCCTGTGGGAGACGCAGGTGGGCGGATTACTTGAGCTCAGGAGTTGGAGACCAGACTGAGCATAATTTAGACCCCATTTCTATTAGATGATAGGTTTTCTTTCTTTCTTTTTTTTTTTAATAGAGACCTCATTTCTATTAAACAGCCAGGTGTTGTGGTGGGTGCCTGCACTCCCTGCTACTCAAGAGGCTGAGGCAAAAGGATGACTTGAGCCCCAGAGTTTGAGGTGGCTGTGAGCTATGACGCTACAGCACTCTAGCCAGGGCGACAAAATGAGACTCTGTCTCAACAACAACAACAACAACAACAACTTAAGCAACTATCTAGAGTCCACAAGAATTTTCTCCTTCAAGGGCACCGTGTGTTATTCTGGCTTGAGAAGTATCACTCGGGGAAAAGACACCCACCTGCTCTCGGTAGTGCATTGCTCCCAGCTGTGCCCTCCCTCCTCTTTCCTTCTGACCTTGTCAGTGGCCTCTGAGGAAGAGTGTGGCACAGGAGATAATTTTGGTAAGAAACAGCTTGGTCACACCTTAGTCTCACCAGGAAGGGGACCTACATTCTTTCCTTTGACTGGGTGTCATTATGGGGACATTTCAGAAATTAAGGGGGATGGAAACAAAAAATAAATGACAGAATAAGACAGTACACCCCACAAGAAACTGGTTACAAAGAAACTGAAAAGGAGGCACAGGAGTCATTGAGCCTCAATATAGTAACACCAAGTCTCTGTGTGAATCCTACAGCTCTCCCTGTTCTCAGGCGTCTTTACAAGCTGTGTCTTCACACGACCCTGCTGCTTTCACTAAGACATTAGGGAAGAAAGAAAGGAAAGGAACCCTGTGGTTACCCCCTGGTTTTCTCATGGATTTGACATGTGACTCCATATCTCAATACCTCTGTTTGCGGCCCTGCTACTCCAGGCCAGAATCGCCTGAACTGGACTTTATTCTTTCATTATTATTATTATTTTATTTATTTTTATTTTTTGAAGACTGAGTCTTACTCTGTCATCCTGGGTAGAGTATGGTGGTGTCATAGCTCACAGCAACCTTGAACTCTGGGATGGGGGTGGGGGTGGGGGTGAGATGTCTTGCTCTGGCTCAGGCTGGTTTTGAACTCCTAAGCTCAAGCGATCCACCTGACTCGGCCTCCCAGAGTGCTGGGATTACAGGCGTGAGTTGCCACACCCTGCCTACACTTTACTCTTGATTGCCTTCTGGAGTTCCCGATGCGGTGAACTACCACGTCTGCTCTGACTTCTGTGATCCTCAGCTCTTGCCTAAACCCACTCTATTTCCTGCTAAAGCAAACAGCCCAGTTGCTTTGCTCCTTCCCAGAAGGAATCATCCCCATCTCCACATGATTGCCTTTTCTGGGCAGCCAGTCATTTGGAAAGGAGCTGTGGATGGGAAGAGACCTCTCCCAATCTCACCTGATTATAGTAGGCTGTGGGCATCCCAATGGTAAATTTCATGGGGACCACGGCAAGCCCCCTCTTCTTCCAGTAATTCTTTGTGTTAAATTCCTCTGCAGCCAGTTTCCTATCATAGAATGAAGATTTCTCCAGACATTCTTTCCAGCATCTTCGCAAGGGCTCTGGATTAAATGTCTTCTTGTAGGCTGTTTTGCTAATTCTCTTGTACATGTTTATTTCTCTAACCTGAAAGATGAGAAAATAAAATGGATTTTAGGGACAGATGCCTGTTCCATACATGAATCATGCATTTTTGCTATATGCCTGAAAGTCTTTCTAAAAAAAGAAATAACTATCTAAAATGGCTATAAAAATACAAGTGCAAATGTGCATGTATAAACATAATAATAACGACAGCAGAATCTACCACTGAATACTTCATATGCAATCAGTCTCTAGAAGGAGGGGTGTCCAGCGTGGGCTGCAGGTGGGCCACATGCTGGTTTTGGGAGCAATTTTTGCTTGTCTGTGGTGTCAGATGGGCTTTTTTTTTCCCCTCTTTTGCTAATCAGCTGTCGTTAGTGTTTCTGCATTTACTGTGTGGCCCAAGACAACTCTTATTTTTCTAACATGTAGTAGAAAAGAAAAAAGGTTGGCCACCCCTGCCTAGAGTGCACTATCTCAGCTTCATAACGACTCTGAGAAATAGTAGATCTCAACTATTATTAGTCCAGTCACAAGTTTGTTAGTAGTGAGACAAAATTCTCCAGATTCAAAATCCTTTTATTCTCACACAACATAGCTTTAGTCTCACCTGTTCTCAAAGTAGCTTCTCAAAGCCGTGAATTGTAGTAAAATGTTTGCACAAATGGCTCTCATCTTTCTGCTCTATCTATTCCCTTGTGGGAGTTTCTCACCGATTCTGGGATTGGCCATGTGTCTTGTTTAGGCCAATGAGACAATGCACATATGAGGCAGGTGGCCACTTGCCCTGTGCTCGTCCCTTAAGGGTGGGCATGTTCCTGCTGCTATTGGGAGCTCTGAAACCACCCCCCACCCCGACCCAGGCTAGCCTACTGGAGGAGAGGGGACCTGGGAGCAGCAATGGAGCTGAGCTATCAGGTTGAGCTGGCCCAGGCCAGATGAGCTACCCCGCTGACCCATAGAATCATAACAAATACTATCTATTGGTTTAAGACATTAAGTTTTGCCTTTGACTCACCACATGGCAAAGTCAACTGATACATAGTGATGTACTCTATTTCTTTGGTTTTTTTTTTTTTTTTTTTTAGCCTCAAGCTATCCCCCTGGGTAGGGGTAGAGTGCCATGGCATCACAGCTCACAGCAACCTCCAACTCCTGGGCTCAAGCGAGTCTCCTGCCTCAGCCTCCCAAGTAGCTGGGACTACAGGCGCCTGCCACAATGCTTGGCCATTTTTTGGTTGCAGCCATCATTGTTGTTTGGCGGGCCCAGGCTGGGGATCCGAACCCACCACCTTAGGTGTATGTGGCTGGCGTCTTAGCCACTTGAGCCACAGGCGCCGAGCCTATTTCTTTGAATCAACACAGAGGCTGACATAATGCGATATGTAGGTGCTCGAGATATAATGTAACCAATTCTCCCAGTGTCTTATTAGGGGTTCTGACTGCTTACCTCTTCAGGGAGTAAGTTACATTGAGATGCCACAGCAGTTATGTAAGCTTCCACTACCACCATACCCTGAGGGAAGCCAAACCCCCGAAAGGCTGTGTTGGATGGCAGATTGGTTTTGCAAGGCCTACCACAGCACCGGAAATTAGGGATACAATATGCATTTTCAGATTTCAGCACAATGAACTCCAGCACCTGCATGAGAGCAAAACAAAACAACTTCACAGCTGTCAGACATTCAAAACCAGTGCTCTGAATTTTATCTCTGACTTGAACCCTGCCCGGAATTTATGTGATGTATAAGACCAACATTCAGGCAGATGAAGTGTGGCACACACAGCTCAACTGGCAGCCTCTGGGAAAACCATGGTTCTTACCGTCTCAGATTCATCGAGAGTGCACCCGCCATTGATGTAATATTCAATATCAGCAGCTTTGATCACACCATTGTTCATGAAACCAATCTGCAAAGTGAGAACAGGTAAGGCTATTGTCTCGACAGTCCTCCTCTGCAACCAAATTGCGCTGGACACAAACGCCTCTGATCACGGTGGTCAATACTTATGTAGCTCATGCACATGGTTGGATATGCAGCTCCCCAAAGAACAGTAAGGATGGTGCCCGAGTTGAACATGATCCTAACAGAAATTTCTTAACTCTTTTTAGGCAGCATCTAAATATCATTTTCAAGTGGTGTGAAATGTAGTGGTTGTCTTTACTACTGGTTGGTTGACACTGGACAGTGTCCTAGGCAGTTTGCTGAACCTTTTGTCCTCACTCACTTTGTATCTCCCCAGGAGTGGGTGGCGGCCAGCAGTGATCAGCATGTCATCGCCTCGCTCCAGGATAAACCGGATGGGGCGGCCAGTCCTGTAGGAAGTGATTCTCTTAATACACTGGATGCTTCATAAAGCTGTGGAGACCTAGAGATGGGGAGAGGGACTGGAGATAATCCAGCCTATTGGTTTTAAGTGGGGCTCATAACATTCCTTAGACAGAATTTTGGAAATTTGTGGGGGATTAAAATTTTTCTTTAAAAATATTGCTATTGTTCTAGTTTAGTTGTGTCTGAGAATTTATATATTACAATGATATTATTTGGTTTTAAGTTATTTTCCTTTTTATTTCTTTATTACATTATATTAAGAAATTATATGATTATTTTGCAATTATGTGTATAATTATGATTTTCACTTGAGATAGCATTAAACTATTTGCCATAATGGGGGACATTGAAATATTTGCCTTAATGGGGGTGAGACTGAGAGGGTTGAGACTCAAGGCTCAGTCACCCTCATCCTTCCTTGTCTTCAGAATCTTTTTCTTTTCTTTTCTTTTTTTTCTTTTTTTGAGACAGAGCCTCAAGCTGTCCTCCTGGGCAGAGTGCCGTGGCATTACAGCTCACAGCAACCTCCAACTCCTGGGGCTCAAGCGAGTCTCCTGCCTCCGCCTCCCAAGTAGCTGGGACCACAGGCGCCCGCCACAACGCCCGGCTATTTTTTGGTTGCAGCCATCATTGTTGTTTGGCGGGTCCAGGCTGGGGATTCGAACCCGCCACCTTAGGTGTACGTGGCTGGCGCCTTAGCCGGTTGAGCTATAGGCGCCGAGCCCAGAATCTTTTTCATAAAACATCTCCAGTGCCTGCAAATAATTTCTTAATATAAAAAGGAAAATAACTTAGAACCAAATAATATTATTGTAACATAATATTACAAGCCTAGTTCTTATAGAACAACACTTTCTCATTGCTGGAAAGGGGCAATGAGCTAAGATGTTCATGGTTTTTCTTTTGTAGCAGTAGCTTGGAAGAAGTTAAGCTTGTCCTGAGTTTATCTTGGTGAACTTCAGTAGTGACGAGGTTCAGAAAATGTGTGGGTGTTCCAGTATTTGGATATTCTAACTGGATGACACAGAGGCTAAGGGAACATTCCTCAGACGGCAGCAGAACCCATAGTGTATTTCATAATAAAATGTGTGTCTTTGAAGATTGGGGTTTTAACCTTCCTTCTACTCGGCCAACCTGAGCTGAAATCTGGAGTGTGGGGCTGAAAGCACTCAGGTGGCATTAATGCTACGGGAACTGCCGTCACCGTGACTCTTACTTGTTGGCAGCCACAGCACTGACAGCTCCCAGCAGCGCAGGCTTGCTCACTTTGCCCCCAAATGCTCCTCCAGTTCTTTTCATGTGACAGGCAATTCTGCTCCTTGGGACATTTAAAGCCGCAGCCACAAATTCCTGTAAGAGTAAATCCCAGAGGCTACGTAAGTGCAATTTAGTAGTTTACTTTCTCATCTGCATAGTTAAAGAAACTTAGTGATTCAACAAATACTTACAGTTACAGAACTGTGCAGCCATCATTATAATCTAATTTTAAAATGTTTTCAGTATTCCCTAAAACAACTCTGCCTACTTTAAGCAATCTCTCCTTCTCTCTCTCCTAACTCCAGCCCTGGACAACTAATAATCGACTTTTTATCTTTACAGATTTGCTTCTTCTGGATATTTCATGGAAGGATAATTGTAAACCATGTGGTCTTTTGTTACTGGCTTTTTTCACATGGCACAATGTTTTTAAGGTTCATCCGTGTTGTAGCATGTATCAATATTCCATTCCTTTTCACGGCTAGATACTATTCAATTGTATGGTGATATCACGTTTTCTTTGCCCATTCTTCAGCTGATGGACATTGAGTTGCTTCCACTTTGGGCTCTAAGGAGTAACGTTGCTCAGTGTTATGCATAAGTTTTTTGTGGACACATGTGTTCTTCTCTCTTGGGTAAATACTTGGTTGTGGAATTGCTGGGTTATATGTTCAGATAACACCCTAAGAAATAGCCCAACTGTTTTCCAAAGGGGCTGTGCCATTTTTCATTCCCACCAGCAAAGTGGGAAGGCTCAGTTTCTCTATATTCTGGCCAATACTTGTCATTGTCTGTCTTTTTGATTATAGCCATTCTAGTGGGTGGGAAGTGATATCTCATTATGGTTTTGGTTTGCATTTCCCTAGTGCCAAATGGTGCTGAGCATCCGCTCACGTGCTCATTGGTCATTCATGTATCACCTTTGAGACACGTCTATCCAAATCCTTTCCTAGGGGGCTGCTTCTGATGCTGCCCCAGATGGGGGGGGGTGCTGTGGCAGGCTGTAGATATGCAGTGCCCTAGTTACACCTAGTTACTTACTGCTGTTGTGGAGCTGATTGGTTGTAACCCAGGAGTTGTTGGTCGTAGGTGCTGTTAGTGACTTTAGGACATACATATTACCCATTAGAACCCAGAGTCACAGGCTCCCTACCAAAAGGGACTTCAGAGGTAATCTTTACCATCTCCTTTAATTTACAGAAAAGGATATTGATGCCCAGTGACTTGTTGGAGATCACTCCAAGGCCGAGGGCAAAGCTCACATCTCCTTCTCTATCCATATCACAACTTTCAACTGTGTTGTGGCCACAGCCACATCCCTGCTCAGAATCAGTGCCCTCAGTCTTTCGTTTTGCCTTGCATGGCAGCTGGTGGCTTCCTGCTCCAAGGAGCCTCCCCCCACTTCAAGACCTCAAGGTGAGAGCTCACCTGTGTTCCACGTGGAGGCTCCCAGCTTTCCTCCTCAGTGAGGGTTGTCATCACTCCTCCCCCATATGGCTTTTGCAATATCTCCCTGTGCCTGGCTCTATTCTAGGACCAACAACTCTGTACTTTGGAAGAGGGAATATCAGAGCATTTTCTTCACCCCCCTGGGCATGGCAATGCCCTGTATCTTAACCACTAGCACAGGATTGGAATTTCCATACTACTTACTGAGCTGGGCTGAAAATGTCTTAGAGACACAATTGTTTTACAGATGTATCACCAGAACATGAGGACATTCATCTAGGACAGGAAGACAAATGATCCACCAAGGGAAATTTAAATATAACACTAAGGCATTGACTTCCCTGAGATTATAATATCAATTGTCATAAGGGAAAGATGAAACTCGTCCTATATTCTGGAAAGTAGCAAAATTTCCAGATCATTTTGTAAGGTCTGCTGTTGTAAAGACACATTTGCCCCATGTTCTTCCTTCTGTACTTTAGCTAAGTCAAGGGTACAGGGAGTTGGAGGCATAGGAGTGGGAGGAATCAAAAGACCCTCATAGAGCTGGGCCTGGGCCAGGGCCTCACATCACCTGGAGTCTCATTTTCCAAGGGTGCCTGTTACCTGCACATGGGTTGGAAACTGTGTTCCAAGATGTAACACCATTTCCTTATCTTCTTGTTTGGGCATAGCCAGGATACTTTGTGTTTCCATGTAAAAGTGTTCCTGTCCTTCCACGTGGACCTCACCTGGAAAGCATAAATACAGGGCAGTATTTATCATGTGTTCCAATGTGGGAGCTCTTGGCAGTATTTTGCTTATAGGGTGAGCTGCTTTAGCTTTTGGAGAGCTGGACCTTATCATTTGGTTAAACCACTTTTTCTAATCCACTCAGTGGCCAACCGGCTGAGTGACCTGGGTAATTCATGTCCTCTCTGTTGGCCTCAGTTTCCTCATCTGTGTAGGGGGGTGGCCGGGCTGTGCTGAACTTGAGAGCACAGACTGATCTGACTTATTATCCAGGTGTGGCCATCTGCTTGTTGCCGGAACAAGGAGTTGGTCAGTTTGCTGTCACTCAAGCCAACAGGAGAAGCAGATGAGGGATCAACAGTTTCACTTTTATTTACAGAAGAGCCAGTGGTTCTGGAGAGCAGCGGGGATGTCTTCCCAAAGGGTGCTCTCTTCCCTCTTTCCCTTCATTACTTTTTATTCTCACAGTAAAAGTAAACATCAGCAATGTTATTACATGGTCAGATTGACCCTCATAGGTTACAAAGTTACACAATATCTTCTTATCTTAAAGAGGTTATATCTTCAAAGAATTTTTATTCTAGACTAAATTTATAGTTAGTTAACACTTCACTGGGTGCACAGAGTGCCCTGGGTCCTTGACCGGTGCTGTGGAGTCCGGTCTCCCAACTTATCTACGACAATAGGCCTTGGAAGTGAAAACTAATCTCCAGACGTCAGCACGTGGGCTCGTCTGGTCTTGCCAGGGCCTGACCAGCAGTGCCCTGCATGAAACGGCTGTTCAGGTGAACAGTAGCTGGTGACATCCTTGCTCAGTGAGTTTGGCCAAGTTATTAAATCCCAGTTTGCTCAGCTGTAAAATGGGGGGAAATAATAATACAGAGCTCAATTAGGTGATGGTAAGAGTTATGAGTTACAGGGAGAATAAATAACTTGCTAAGTACATTACAGGTTCAAAATGGCAGAGCTGAGCTGTTCCCTAACCTAATACCAGCCTACTCTTACTGGTTCATGTGGGATTTTTGGCTTATTCAGTATATCCTTATCATTTTGTAAGGTATACCAATAGAGGAATTGGGCCTGAGTTTAGAGACCGGAAGACAATGTTTTTACTTTATCAGAAAGACTTCTGTGCTGTTAAATAAATGGATTGTTTGCTGGAGTCCAAGGATTATTTAAAATTATTTCTTGGGACAGTAAAATGTGATTCATGCGAAAGACCCCCTACCCCCACCAAAAATATGCTTACAGAATATATATACTGAGTTTAATGTAAACTCAAATTAATTTTTTTATTTTAAATTTATAACAGGAGAAAGGTTTTGTTTCAGATTTTTTAAACAAGAGAAAAAGGTTTATTTAATTTGCATATGGAGGGGAGGCTCACAGGAATAACTAAAAACCCCGAGGGCGTGGTCAGACCTGGAAGCTTACAGACCCTTTCAACAAAGCACAGTTAATTTGTGGAGAAGGGACCAGACAATGAAAAGGGTTCTGAGCTTCTAGAGGTGGTAAAATTGTAGGAAGATAAATATTTATGGGTGTTCTGCACTGATACGAGTCTAGAGTTGCTTCTGTTCTGTCCTTCCCGGTCGAAAGAAGACAGGAAAGGGAAGACCTTCACAAAGGGAAATCTGTGCCCCACTTTTGGGTAAATTAGGGGAGGGTTAGAGAGTTTTTATTTGTTTGTATTTTTAGTGTCCACTGTTTTTTGGTTGCCACAAGCTCTAAATAATCCTTATGCTAACATTGCATATTTTACACTCAAATTATTTACTTAACAATTGCCTAGTGTTTATAACAGGCTAAGTATTTTTCTAAGGCTTAGCACTTCACAATCAATTCGGCTAATCCTCAGAGCAACCCTATGAGGCATGTACTATTGTCTCCATGTTGCCAGATGGGGAATCTGAGACCTGGAAAGGTTGAGGAAACTGCCCAAGGTCACACAGATCCTAGCCTATGCAACCCAACTCCAGACTTCATGCTGTTAAATGAGTGTGTGAGAAAAAACCTGTTTCTCTTGTTTAAAAACAACTTATAAGAAACCACCTTTCTCCATGTTGGCACCCTCTGTGACTCCTAGTCATTCCTGCCCAAACTCTCTCCACATTTCAAATTTCCCACTTGTGCCAAAATTCTGAACTTCCACAATTGCCAAAATCCAAGATCTCAAATGTAAAAATCCAAAATGGCACCTTTTCAATCTGCTGCCCTCCAGGTAATAGTAACAATTACAAGAAGATGCACCGTGGCATTAGCAGCCACTGTTAATCCAAAAGGCCATTTCATGCAAGGCATGGCTGGTCAGTCCCTAAGAAGGCTGGGTGAGCCTGTGTGCCGGCATCTGGAGATTGTTTATTTATTTCCAAGGCCTACTGTTATAGATAACAGTAGTTGGGGACCTAGACTTCGTGGTACCTGTCAAGGATCCGGGGCACTTCGCATCCAGTGAAGGGTTAATGAGCTGTAAATTTACGCTTTAAAGATATAGCCACCTTGAAAGCAAGAGATATTTTGCCTTTGTAGTCTAAGGGGGATCTGTTTAACGTATACTATGCTGATTAATAACACTGCTATGTGTGCTTTTACTGTGAAGGTATAAAAATAACAAGAAGAAACGAGAGCAGAACAGAAGACATTGAAGAGATGTCCTCACTGTTCTCCCGAAGTCCTGGCTCTTCTGTAAGTAAAAGTGAAATGGTTGATCTCTCATCTGCTTCTCTGTTGAGTGGCTTGGGTGACAGGTGGACGGACTCCTGAGTCTGGCAGCAATGGTGCTTAGAGCAAGGGCTTTGGGGTCAGGCAGTGCTGGGCTCCATTCTTTTCTACTGCTAACTGGATATCAGACCCCCAGCCTTATGAACCCTATAAACTGTTATGAGTCTCAGTTTCCTCATTTTAAAAACGAAGCTACTAATATGTTCCTTGTCAGAGTTGTTCTGCTTGAATATTAAATAGTAAGCAGTAAAAACTTAGAAGCTTAAAATAGGTTTAAGAACAATAATAATCCCTTAGTGTTGTTATTAGGACTAAATAGTGTAATACATGTAAATGCTTAGCATGGCGTCTGCCTCAGTAAATACTTGATAAGTGTTAGCTGTATTATTATTATCAAATAATCTTTAGCCCAAATTTATAGATTATGTAAGATTTCATTTAATCGTTTAAATAAAATCCATTATAAATAATGCATGTTTGGTACGTGTAGCAGATACTCCCAGACTTCTGGGCATGTCTCCCGAGTTTACCGTTTGTATTTAACTACTCTTCTCAGGTCATGATTTGTTTTTATAATTGGGAGGCAGTCTACATTTTCTGCTTAAACAGAATGACGTTAGGAAACAAATATTCTCAAGGTCTCCCCTAGGTTTTAGCAAAAAATAAAAGCTTACAGCACTTGCCATTTCTATTATTTAGAAGCAGGTAATAGATCCTGTGAAAATTATTATATTACTTTCTCCTACCAAAGACCGATGGTGACTCTCTCAGTAAAGACAGCTGAGTTATCGACTTTGACCACGCATTAGAATTACCTGAGGAGCTTTTAAAAAAATATTAACGTGTTTAGCTTATAGTCCAAGATTCAGATTATAGTCTGGGGTGCGATCTAGGTATTACTATTTTAAAAAAATGATACCAATTGGGTCTTAGCCAGTGCACTAAGTCACAACACACCAAAAACCAAAACAAATGATAGTATCAAGGACTAGAAAACATAAATACACCTGTCATGATAAGATTATGTACGGAGAAAATTCAAGAGCATCTCCAAGACTATTAAAAGCCTTTCCAGGCTATGTTGGAAGACTCCAACACTGTTGTTGTTGTTGCATTTGGTTCCCTGCTCTGCTGGAGAAAAAGTGCAGGCACACCTTTCTTACAGGAGAAATCTCGTCTCTCAGCTTGTGAGCAATGCTGGAAACAGAAATCAAGAACGAGGGGAAGACCATCATCTTCTGACACCGAGAGAAAGCTAAGTGGGAGGACGCAGTGCATAATGCAAAATGAAGACGGCAACTAAGGTTTTGCGTGGTTTGCAGCAGAGAAAACAAGAAAGGGGAAGGAGAGAAACCATTTCCTACTGTGACACGTGCAAGAGGAAGCCTGGACTTCATCCTGGAGATTGCTCCAAGAAGTGTCACACTCAAGAAAATTATAAACAAAAATAAACAAAAACACTTTATTTTATGTAACCTAATATATAATAAAATCATCAGGATGGCACTGTGGCTCAAAAGCAGGGTGCCGGCCCCATT